CACTTCCCTGGTAAAGATGAATTAATCTGGGGTATCAGACCTAAGACTAATCAAAGCAGACAAGAAAACATAGGTGAGGAAACCTACATTCTTTCTGATCTTAAACATAGATGGCATTTAAACCTTTGGAAATATGCATACCACATACACTTTCTTAGTTTCTTGAAAGTGATACATGGCAAGAGGGAATTAAGCATTGGATAAAAAATGAAAACCTAAAATCTATTGTATTGCCACATACCAATAATAGGTAGAACATGTGATTATTACGTGTGCCATTTATGGAAGCAACATAAAATAACAACAACCTAGAAATAAATCTAGCAAAAAGTGTGCAAAACTTCCATGGAGAAAATTCTAAGACTTATTAAGATCATAAAGAGTATCTAAATAAATAGGAAATTATACTTGATTCATAGTTGGAAGATTAAATATTGTAAACATGCCAATTCTCCCAAAGCTGATGTACAGATTCAACGCAACTCAAATCAGAATTCCAATAGACGTTTTGGTGAAATCTGATAAGCGGATTCTAAATTATATATATAAGAGATCACAGGGCTTAGGATAGCCCAGATGGTCCTTAAGACTGCCGAGGTGAGGAGGCTTACTCCACCAGGTATCAAGACTTATCATAAAGACAGTTATTAAAATGTTTTCATCTGGGGGCGCCTGGGTGGCTTAGTCGGTTAAGCGTCCGACTTTCGCTTAGGTCATGATCTCGCGGTTAGTGGGTTCGAGCCCCGCGTCGGGCTCTGTGCTGACTGCCAGCTCAGAGCCTGGAGCCTGTTTCAGAGTCTGTCACTCCCTCTCTCTCTGACCCTCCCCTGCTCACGCTGTCTCTCTCTCTCCTAGAAATAAATAAAACATTAAAAAAAAAAAAAAGATGTTTTCATCTTAAGTTGACAAAAGGAACAAAAGAAAGAACCCAGGAAGGGAGACCCACACATATGTGGAAACTTGATATGTCACGGAAGTGGCTTTGCTGTCAATGAGAAGAGGTAGGTTTCTTTGGTTAGTGTCACTAGAACGATTAATATAGAAAACCAAGACAATTTACAAAAGAACATTTTAACACATGTAACCTATAAATAAAACAAAACCATTTACCCACCACCCAACTTAAAAATAGAACAATATCAAGACTTTTGAAGACTCTTGTGTCCCCTCGTCAGATTACTACATCATAACATGTACAAAAATAAATTCCAGATGGATTAGAAAACAAAATGCAAAGAGCAAAACTTTTAGAAGTTAATTTAAAAATGTCTTCATGACTTCTAAAGAGGAGAGAATTTCTTTACAATATCCAAAAAGACACAAACCAAAAAGGAAAAGATTCATAAATTAGATTACATTAAAGCTAAAAACCCTCAATTATCAATGGTACCCCATTACAAACTGAAAAAAAAAAACAGGGTGAGAGAATATTAGCAACATATATGATGAACAAAGGATTAGAAACCAGAATAAACAACTCTTAAAAGTATGAAAAAATAAACAATAGAAAAATGGACTGGATGAAAAGACATCTCATAAAAGGGAAACTTGAATGGTTGATAAACATAAAAAGATGCTCAACCTCAGAACACGTGGTCATCAGACCACAATGAAATAACATTTAACCTCACCAATCTGACAAAAAAATTTACAAATCTGGAAATATCAAGAGTACCAAAAACATTTCTATACCACAAATGGGGTTGTTAATAAGAACAACTACTTTGGAAAACAATCTGGTGCAACCCAGGACAAATGAAGATGTACACAGCCTGTGACTCAGCAACTGTCCATCTTGGAGAAACCTTTGCATGTGTGCATCTGCAGACATGCATAAGAAAGTAGAAGCACTGATAGTAATAGCAAACCCCAGAAATTTCCCAAATGTCACCAATAGAAAAAGCATAAGCAAAGCTAGGAAGCACCCTGAGACCTATTAGTATCCAGGATATTTACCAGTAAATGTTCAGGGATGTGGGATTAACGGGAAGGAAGTAGGTCCACAGAGTGAGGGTGATGACAGGCTACAGTAGCCTCAGGTGATCTCAGAACCTCCCATTTGAGAAGCTCTCAAACTGAAATGGATTGTCAAAGTTGTCCTGTGTTGAGTCAAAATGGTCAAGCCATTATACCCCATCTCAATCCCTAACTAAAAATAGGCCACACCCAACACTGGGTGAGGAAGCCTTCTGTGGAGGCAATCCCTGAAGGGGCTGACATCTGAAGACTATCTGCTGACCACCCTCAGGACCTGGGACAAGCCTTTCTTTGAAAGGAAGATCTAAGCAAGGCATCTCCTTATCCACCATACTGTTGTATATTCCCACATTGGAATACTATACAGCAGTGAAAAATAATAACCTATAGCAGTCAATGTGAATACTGAGAAAAAAGAGCAAAAGGAATACATGTAATATTCTTTCATTTAAAATGCACAAACAAGCAAAATGAAATGATATTTTGCATAGGGAGACCTATACAGAGAGATTAAAACTACAAATAATATCAAGGTTGAAATGGTTGTTACCTCCAAGAGATGAAGGATAGAGAAACAGGATCAGATACAGAGGCCCAAGAGCCTTCTAAAGTCTTGATATTACTCTATTTTTAAGGTGGGTACATGGTTTTGTTTTTGTTATTTAGAGCTTACACGTGTTAAAATTTTATTTTGTATAATTGTTTTAATTTTCAAAAGAAATGTTTTTTTTTTAATTTATTTCAGGAGAGACTGTTTTCCTAAAGTCAACCCAGAACAAGAAGCGTATGGAGTAGCCAAATCTGGCCTCCTTACTCTGTAACCCCTGGTTGACTCAAATACTATCCCACAGGCACTTAATTTCCATGGCTAACTTAGCCCAGCTCACTGGCTATTTTGCCAGAAATATGTCATACTTAGAGAGCATTACTTAGCACCGCTAAGAAACCGTCAGTTGTATTTGTTGATGTAAAAATATTAAGGCTTCAAATCTAGAAAGCAAGTGTGTAGAGAAGAGACATTACAATGGTAAAATTACTTATAATTTACATTTGAAAAGCCGAGACTTTGAAGGGAAAATAACTTGTCAAATGTGTGGAGTAATAGCCATGCTAGAAATAAAACAGAATCCCAGATTTGCCTGCCAGTGCTACAAATTACGGAGGAGGAATTAACTGTGTTTTTTTGAGCTACCACCCACTGGGGATCATTGGGAGTAACAATTCTCTTAGCATAACAGGGCTAACTAATAATCTTGCCAAGGTGCTCTGCAAGAGCGAAATACTACCAATATCAGAAAAAGCTAGTATTTCTAGTAGGTTTACCTTCTGAGAACCCAAGTTCATCTGTTTAGCAGAATGTCAAAATACAAGCTTATATTTCTTCACAGATGAGTGAGAGGCACAGGAAGCTGAAGCCTAACTGGCTCACATACAGCTTTTCAATCACAACACACATTACTGAAACACAAGACTGTGGCATTTCACACTTCGCGCAACTTCTCATTTGCAGACACCTGCCATTTAGCTATAGGAAGTGAAGGCTCAGAGAACAAACTACTTTGTGGGGAAAGCACACTTGGAGCTGCCTGTTGCGTTTTATAAAGTTAAAGTTTCCAAAACTCTTTAGGAGACTTTTTACTCCAAAAAAAGCAAAACTTTACTAATAATGACACTAAAACAAACTCAAGCCTTGAGCTACACGAAAATGACTCCTTATTTGGACTAACAACCAAACAGGCCAAGACAATTATTTGACCTTACAAATAATTCTGTTAAAGCCAATAGGATAGTGTGAAGCTAGAAGGCAGAGAGAGAAATTTTTCACCAGAGTTAAGGAGAAAGAAACTGTAGATATGGGTGAGGATAACCCTTCCAAAACAAAACCCTCCAGCAGTGTTTAAGGAAAAACCGCGGCAGGGGAAAAGACACTGAAGTGCAAAGCTCCTGTGTACAAAATGGGATCCGGGGTATCATAGCGTTGAAGCTGAAGTTAAGCCTTGAGGCCAGATCATTATTTACAGCAAACTTCTTTAAAAAGAAAAAAAATCTGAGAAATCACAGAGTTCCCCTTTTTTAAAGTTTTGACTGATCAATGCTGGAAAGGCTCAAAAGTCACTTTTCTCTCCCTCATCAAAACCAAAACAAAGGATTTTTGTGACAGATGAAAACTAAGGCCTCAACTGTGAAGGAAGTGTTCTCATTCACCCTGAGGAAGTTAGACAGCAAACCCGACCATCACTGTCTCACACTCCTCTTGCTAGCAAGCACGGTGGTGAGCTGTGGGCTGGTGGCGCTGGGCCTCGTGCTTCTTTGGAAACCAGGAGGCTCGAGTTCACTGCTCACCTGAAAGCAGACCCCGGCCCTCTCGCGCCTCACATCTGAAGCGGCAAGTCCCCTTCACTCAGAGACACATCTCTCCAATCTGGAGACAAACTGTGCGACTGTTAAGTATTTTTATGGCGGCTTTCTCGGTGGCCTTGACTCATCTTTTCTCATAAGGCAAGAACTTCCAGGAGCCCCCAGTCTTGGCAGAGTCCCTGCAAGGGTGATGAACCTTCCCGGGCAGGGGAGATGCGAATGAAGCACGCGGAGGGCCCAGCCCCACTCCCTGCGGCCGTGGACCGGAGGATGTGCCCCTCCACGCCCTGCCCTGATGAGGTGATGCTGAGGTACCACTACTGTCCTCAGCCCTTCTATTAAAGGTGTGTGACTAGGCAACGACTGAGCCAGACGCTGAAGGACTCGCTAGAATAAGCAGCGCAGTGCAGCCGCGACCTTGCCCGGGGCTGCCCCTCCGACCTGCACCGGCGGCCGGAGGTGAGGGTGGCAAAGCCCAGACTCCAAAGAGGGAAGCTCACCCCTTCCGCCCAACCTTCCCAGGCTGGCAGGGGCTGCGGGCAGCTCCCGCTCTGGTCAACGCCCCCGACCCCCTCCGGTCCTGGGAGTCCTCCGGGTAGGAACGACTCGGACTCCACCCCTCGCCGGCCCCCCTCGGCCCCCGCGCGCACGCTCGCCTCCAGCACCTGGGCCGCCGCCTCGGGCCCCGGCCGCCGCTGGCGCCGCCCGCTGCGCCCGCAGCCACGGTAGCACGTCCTTCCGGAGGTCGAAGTCGGAGACCAGACGGAGAGCCATCGCCCGGACGCGGCCAGCGGGCAGCTGGGGCCCCGCGCCGCGGGCATTCCCAGCCCTCCGCCCTCCACCCCACGGGCCACCTCGCCCTTCCACACCCCCCCGCGGCGCCCGCCCCTCCTTCCTCTCCCCCGCCTCCCCGCGCCGGCCGCTTTCGGTTCTGCCGCGTCCCGGCCCGGGGAGCCCGGAGCGCCGCCTCCTCCAGGCCTACCCCGAGCCCTGGAGCCTCGAGCCGGGCACGCCGGGCAGGGGGGTGGGGGAGGGGCAGGAAGGGGACGCGGGCGCGGCGACCGGGCCCACCCGGCGCGAACCCTCCACGTGCGCCCTTCGGGTGGAGGGCAGGTGAGTGGAAGGATTTAAGGACCACGGAGATGTCGCAGAACTGACAGTCTCCAGGCTGCACGTTAGATGGAGGCTCTAAGCTTATTTTTATTTTCTTTTTAAACCCTCAGATGCTTCCTCTGCAGGAAAGCTGGAAACCTTGACGAGAGAGAGGCATTTTAGCCGGGTCACCTGAGAAGGTTCTAGTAAATCGCAGGGGCAGAAGTCTGCAGTGTCTCGGGCCTGTTGGACCCTGCTTCAGGGAGATGAGGTTTCATTAGCAGTATTTAGGTAGCAGCGGGGAGCACGGGAAGGAGATGGTTTTATTTTGAGAGAGAGACCGAGACCCTGGAAAGGGTTAACAACCTTACCATAAACCGGTCCTCCGCCCTTCAAGGGGTTCCCTTTTTACAAAGGGAAATGTTTAAGATTTTATAAACTGGCTTTTACAACGCTCAATTGTTGAATTGTTTAGGATATCGGCTGTGACTAAGTGCTCTCATTCTTCTGTCTTGGGCAGGACACCTTCTCATCCCCACCTCTACAAATAAATCTGGTGTTTCGTTAATCTCACCACTTTGTTTTTTATATATACATTATATATAAATACATATGTAGAGTGTGTGATCGGATTTTTTTTTAACCGTATTTACCCATTTTGAGGGAGAGCGCACACGAGAGTGGGAGGGGCAAAAAGAAAGAAAGAGAGAAAGAATACCAGGCAGACTACACACTGCCAGCATCGAGCCCAACACCAGGCCCTATCCCACCAACCCAGATATCATGACTTGAGTGGAAATCAAGAGTCAGACACTAGACCGACTGAGCCACCCAGGTGCCCCTAGCTTTCTTCTCTTTGCCATGAACGCACCCTTGGTAAGTTTAATGAGTATTGAGCCTTTGGCACTGGCAGATTCAATCTATCCTGAACGTCATCAACGCCCAGTTATTACTCTCCCTAAAACAAGGCTACCCCCATGTCCCTAGGTAGAAGACAATGAGTAACGGCTGATTGATTGCCCTAGGATAAAGTGCCTCACTTTAATGGACTTTTCCAGCCTTTGCACCTAGAACTTCAGCTACAGACTGACCTAACTTCCAGAATCCCTCCACCCTCCTTCCTCTGGGGGGAAAAAAAAATCAAGTCCTTCCAATCTGGATCCACAAAGCCTTCTCACAGCTTCAGTCCACGGCAACCTTCCAAACCCTGAATTCCTCGAGAGATACTGTCAGTATGCCTCACTTCATAGTCATATACTGCCTCAAGACATGAATATTCAATCTCGTCTTGGCACATCCCTCGGCCCCTTTGCCTCCTATCAGGGGCACCTGAAAAGTGCTCAACAGTTATTGAAGAATAAAGAAATATAGTAATAGACTAAAGAAAGCCTTATCACGTGTTTCTCAAAGTTTGGCTCTGAGAAAACTGTCTGCATTGCAATCATTTGGGAAGTTGTTTTACCATGAAGACTCCTAGGCTCTAGTATAGAGCTGGGTGAGGCTCAGAAATGAGCATTTTAGCCAGAACCTCAGGTGATTCTTAGGCTTACTAAGGTCTGAAAATTATCCTAAAGCAAGGTAAAAGAAGCTATTGATTTCACCCTAGAGACATGTGTCTCCAATTGAGTAGTGGCTAATTTCAGGTAGAACCCTACAACTCACCACATATACCTAAGAAAATCTTCCCACCTGTAAAGTATGTGAAGATTTAACAGATATGTTTCAGAAGGTGACTGATCATGCTGGTGTGCAAAAGGGAGACCAATGAAGTCGTGGGGAGCCGCTACAACAAATGCTTCATACCTAATGAAGCTTGTTGCCCTTGTCATAAAGTCTTTCCTTGTCTATTTCAAAATTCAGTAAGTTTCTGGGTCCCCTCCCACAGTTAATCTCTATTTTTGCCAAGCAAGATTGATATTGTCCTCATATATAGTCCTCATCAAGCAGTGATTATATAAAAATTCTCTCTAAAATAAGTAAAAAGGCACATAGAGAACCTAAGAACCAAAATAGTAGAAAGATGAGGTCTGAACCATGAAGGTAGTACATGAATGGCAGAGTTTTGAAGATCATCGCTAGGGAAAAAGACAGGTGAATGGTGACTCACTGGCTTAAGATTTGTGAAGGGTTAATAGAAGAATCTTGGCAGATTATCCTTCAACTCTAGAGAAGACAGAACTGGAGACGGTTCTACCCTTTTTACTAAAAAAGCGGCCTCATTGATGGATGTGTTAATTTGATTGTGGTTCTCATTTCACAATATATATGTATATCAAATCATACTATACACTTTATATATAATTTTATCTGTCATTTATACCTCAATAAAGCTGGAAACAAGAAAAGAAAGCTGCCTTACAGAATCATTAAGCACTGGAAAGGGCTTCTGGGTAGAAAAAAATATTTCTGCTTCTTGAGTATTTTAGAAATAAACCATCATCTTCCTTAAAATCAGTGCGTAGCACAGAATCTGAGACTTAAAGATCTTGTAATCAAGGCCTTTATTTTATAGAAGGAGAAACTGAAGCTCAAAAGTAAAATGAGTGTCTGGTATAAAGCAGCAAAGTTAATTAAGCACAAAGTTGGGCTCAGAACAAGTCTCTTGCTATTGGTGTTTGTGCTAATTATGTCCAGTGAACTGCACTGAAGTACTCTTACCTTACAGCCTAAGGATTTCTGGTTACCCAAATACCACACCCTGACTGCGATGGAATTCTCGGACCACAGTGAGAAACTGCAGAGCTTACAGTTGGTTAAGCTTCTGGCTCTTCTGATTTCGACTCAGGTCATGATCTTAAGGTTCCTGAGATCAAGCCCCACATGGAGCTCTGCACTCAGAGCAGAGCCTGTTTGGGATTCTCTCTCCCTCTCTCTGCCCTCCCCTGCTTGCATACACGTGCTCTCTCTTTCAAAATAAATAAATGAACTTAAAAAAAAAGTAAAAGTGAATCAGCTAAAAACCAAACCCTGCATTTTGGAAGCCAATCCTTTGAAAGCACAGCCGAGACCCTTTTCATGAATTTGAATAGAAGTTACCAAAATGTCCATTAGAATCTAAATGAAAGTAAAGTTCCTCTGCACTTCACAGGAAATAATCACTTAAGTTGGGTAACTAAGACGCACATACATATCTTTATGTAGATATTGAGAAGGCTGCTTCCCTATAGTAATTTATTTTTATAGAAATATTTAATGTGTACTTTAGTAAATACATATTTAACGTGATCATCTGACTCCCCCCAAATCTACCTGCCCCCAGTCAGGTGGTAACACATCCTCTGGCCAGTGATTGATTTGGGAATGGGCAGGTGCATCAGTCAGGATTAAGTTCACCAGAGGTTAATGAAAACCCAAATTAAAAGTGAATCAAACACACAAGCTTATTTTCTTACATAACTGGAGGTGCGCAGTCCAATACTTGCGAGGGCAAGTCCCTAAAGTTATCAGGGAGCCAGGCTTCTTCCAGCTTTTTGTTCCATTTGCTCTTTGAGTGTATCCTCATCCTCATGATCTACGATGACCGTGAAAGCTTCAGCCATTTTTTATTTTTTTGAGAGAGAGATAGAGGCAGCGTGAGCAGGGGAGGGTCAGAGAGAGAGGGCGACACAGACTCCGAAGCAGGCTCCAGGCTCTGAGCTAGCTGTCCGCACAGAGCCTAATGCGGGGCTCGAACCCACAAACCGAGATCATGACCTGAGCCGAAGCTCAACCGACTGAGCCACCCAGGCGCCCCAAGCTTCAGCCATTTTTGTTTGCATTCCGGAAATCAGAATGGAGGAGAGAGAAGAGGATGGTGCTTCTTTTTTAAGGATACTTCCCGGAAGTTCTACCTAACACTTTCACTTACATTTAATTGACTAGAACTTTGTCAAATCCCAAATATAGATGCAAGAGAAGTAAGGGAATCTAGTCTTTAGCTGGCTAGCCATATGTCCAGATAAAATCAGAATATTACTGAAGGCAGCAGAGAGAATGAATACTCGGAAGTAACTAGGGGTCTCTATCATGGGCCTGAAACCTAAGCCTAGACAGTGGGCTATAAGGACACCTGTGCCATGTTATTTCTGGGAAAGACTGATCTACTCCTTAAAAAGGAGACATGGCTAAAGAAGGTATTTTACATATTTGAAATCCTGCATATGATTCCTGGAACTTCACCAGTCTAGCTCTCGTCTGAAGATGGAATCCACACATGGAGCTGGGCAGAGCCCAGAGAAGTGCAGAGAAGGGGAGCCTTGGCATGTCATTCTTGGCACCAGCCCAACCTTTGGCCCTTTTGAGATTAAAGATAACAAACTTTCTATTGTTTAACAAGATTGAGTCAGACTTTCATTTTACTTGCAGCCAGGGGTCTCAACTTTAAAATTTTTTTTTTAATGTTTTATTTATTTCTAGGTGAGAGAGAGAGACAGCGTGAGCAGGGGAGGGTCAGAGAGAGAGGGAGTCACAGACTGAAACAGGCTCCAGGCTCTGAGCTGGCAGTCAGCACAGAGCCCGATGCGGGGCTCGAACCCACGAACCATGAGATCATGACCTAAGCGAAAGTCAGACGCTTAACCGACTAAGCCACCCAGGTGCCCCCAGGGGTCTCAACTTTAAAGGGCTATCATTTCAAAGTTCTGGTAGCTCCCACCAAAGAATGGTATGATCGTAACAAGTTTTTTATTTCAACAGTTATAAGGATACATTGTCCTGTATCTTTGCATTACTTGTATTAACATAAAATGAAATAATGTGAAGGGGGTGGGCATGGAGGGAAAAAATCCC